AAAAAATGTCCGCTAGGTTGAAAATCTCGAAAGAGGCAGCCTAGGCAAAAGTTAGGACACAAAAAAAAAAAAAATCACTCTCTGAACTACGTAATGACTTGATCCTCTTCACTAAGGTACGTAGGCAGCTTAGAGTATTATTACTCTAGGTTCAGTCATAAGAATAAAAAAAAAGAAAAAAAAAGTCATGTGAATATCATGCTAATTCTTTCAACTGAAAGATTCAAGCACCCAGATTTTGAGCTGACTTTGAAGACAAATCTGTATTAATCCGTAAATCCTATGGACGTGATTTTTATATGATTGAAGACCTAGAAGTCTTATTTCCAACAAAAAAAGAATACTCAGTATTCCGGCTCTCCTACTCCACGTTATGAATTTTCTTCCACATGTGCGCAAAGCTAAAAATTCAAGCACTCAGATTTTGAGCTGACTGTGGAGACAAATCTGTATTAATCCGTAAATCCTATGGACGTGATTTTTATATGATTGAAGACCTCGAAGTCTTATTTCCAACAAAAAAAGAATCTCAGTATTCCGGCTCTCCTACTCCACGTTATGAATTTTCTTCCACATGTGCGCAAAGCTAAAAATTCAAGCACTCAGATTTTGAGCTGACTGTGGAGACAAATCTGTATTAATCCGTAAATCCTATGGACGTGATTTTTATATGGATTGAAGATATCGAAGTCATCTTTCCAACAAAAAAAGAATCCCAGTATTCCGGCTCTCCTACTCCACGTTATGAATTTTCTGCCACATGTGCGCAAAGCTGAAGAAAGCTGAATATCAAGCACCCAGATTTTGAGCTGAATTTGAAGATAAATCTGTATTAATTCGTAAATCCTATAGATATGATTTTTATATGGATTGAAGATCTCGAAGTCATATTTCCAACAGAAAGGGAAGCTCATTATTCCGGCTCTCCTACTCCACGTTATGAATTTTCTTCCACATGTGCGCAAAGCTGAAGAAAGCTGAAAATTCAAGTACGCGGATTTCGAGCTGACTTTGGAGATAAATCTGTATTAATCCGTAAATCCTATGGATGTGATTTTTATATAGATTGAGGATCTCGAAGTTATCTTTCCAATAAAAAAAGAAGCTCATTATTCCGGTGCTCCTACTCCACGTTATGAATTTTCTACCTCATGTGCGCAAAGCTGAAAAGTTAACGTTTTGTTGCTACCCTCGTATAAACTCTAGCTTATGGAGTCTTTTTTTTCATAAAGAAAAGGGCTCGTGGAAAGAACAATCAAAATTCAAAAGGAGAAAATTCTTATTGCAATATAAGTCACTATTTTATTGCT